CGTTAAAGTTAACACACAGAACAAATATTGTATTGTTTCTTTAAGAAGAAAATATTTGTTTGTTGTTGTTTTTTGATAGATGAAATTTTAAAGTTTCCACACAAAAATTATTTTTTTTGTTATTGTTTATATTATGAAAGTTCAATGCCTATGAAGATTTCATGCAAAAGATACATATTTATATAAATTATTCGAAAAAAAAATCGTAATTTCTGTTGTTTGTTTAATTAATTGATGAAAAATTTGAATCATAATCTAATTTCTTGTTATTGTTTTTGGTTTATTTTGAAAGTATTTTGATTATTCTGTTATTGTATCATTTGTGGAATTTTGTTTTCATTGAGTTTACGTAAATATTGCTCGATATTAATGCACAATGAAACGTTGCTTTTATGAGTGAATAAAGTAGAGTTTCCAATATAAAACAGTCAGATTTTTCATATAAAAATTGTGTTTTTAGTTCCTCAATTAGTCCGGTTTCAAATAGTCCGAGAACCCGCACAATTTCTGTGAATTGAAAACATTTTTATGTTGTAATTATGTTTTCACGTAAATATTGATCCTGTATTCATATAAACAGGACTAATTCATATATACAGGAATGAAGCGCAATTTTACTTTTGTGGGTCGTCCAGTATATGTAAGTGGGTTTCAGGATAATTGGATTCCTTCGATGACATTACATCGGAGTCTTAAAGAATCCGCCTCCATAACCGAACCGAATCAATACCGGCACTAGACGTAATTGAACTGCGCCTATAAAGAATTCATACGATGTGAACTATGTATAATAGTGAGTGAATACAAAGCAAGCCGAAACCCGTCTACCTGTCCTATCGCACGAAACCCAACCCACCTACGACTTCCGTCGCCTGGATACAAGCATCAACACTCTTGTTAATAAATGAACGCTCTAATTTATAGCCTACATGATTTTATATATATTCTCAATATATAAACTCGTAACAACAACTTGATTTTTTTTTTATGATTTATAGAACAATACTGAAATACATATGGTAACAAAAAATCTCATTTAGTTTCATGACTTTCAAATCTAAATTAACTTCACAAAACTTTGAACGTTTTTGATGTAGTAAATATAAATAATGAGAAGTTGTAATAATTGATAAAATTCAGGGGAAAATTATAGAATTTATCGATGTGGAACGAAACGTATTTATTACTTCCGATGCGATAACTATTGATGGCCTATTTAAAAACCGATAAAGTATACGAAAAGAACATGTAATAGTATCGAATTTAAACACAACTATAAATTTAGTTATACTATTTCTACTTTACTGCAATTTCTTTAAATCAGAACATTTTTTATATCAATTTGTACACTTCAAAAAGGATGATTTAATAATGATAAAATTTCAAATAATGCAGGTAATAAATGAGTTTGTTTTATTAAAATTATTTGGTACGTGTTTAATTGTAATATTTTAAACTGAAAATAAGTGTAATTAATTTTTGGATCTATATATCATAAAGTTTGAACACTGACGATTTTGTATGTAATTTGTGATACATTAATTGAAAAACTTTTTTTTTTCAAATGATATTAAAGTTTAGAGTTCGAATGAACATTTGAGGATGAATAGAGCTCATGAAAGTTAAGCAACGTTCTTTGAGTATACTAATTGGTATGGTGATGTAATTACAAATGAACAATTTCCTAGAACTTTATAAATCTTCACTTTTAAAGGGTAAATAAAGGAATGTTTGCCCAAATATTGGATATTTATGAAAGTTAAGCAACATAGTAATTGTAATGGTGATTCCTAAATGTATACTCATGAAATGAACCATTTCATTATTAATTTCATGAAAAACTTTTTACTTTAAGAAATTCTGTAATTACCATTGAAATTTGTACATTTTTGTTGATTTATTATGAAAATTAAGCGGATACTAATTGGAATGTTGACCAAAACTATAATTTCTAACTAAAATTTAAAAAAATATATACAATTATACACAAGAAAGCATAATTTACAAAAGGATTTAACATAAAAATTTTCTGTAATTTCTCTAATTTTAATATAATTAAAATTTCAATTGATGCAGGTAATAAATAAGTTTGTTTCATTAAATTTAATTGGTACGTGTTTAATTGTAATATTTTAAACTAAAAATAAGTGTAATTAATTTTTGGATCTGTTGGAAATATTCCATATCATAAAGTTTGAACACTGACGATTTAAATTTTGTATGTAATTTGTGAAATACTAATTTAAAAACTTGTTTTTATCAAATGACATTAAAGTTTAGAGTTTGAACAAACATTTAAGGATGAATAGAACTCATAAAATGAACAATTTCATTATTAATTTCATGAAAAAGTTTTCACTTTGAAACATTCTGTAATTATCGTTGAAATTTGTATATTTTTGTTCATTTATTATGTAAATTAATTGGAATGTTGACCAAAACTATAATTTTTAACCAAAATTTAGAAAAAATATATAAAATTTTAGTTTAAATATTGAATTTTAAACTTTGGAACTACAAAAATAACTTACTTAAATCAACAATCTTTCAATGGACGAATTTCTTATAAAAAAATATATTATTAGAATAAAATCGATATTTATCAAATACAATTAATCAAGTTTTACTAAAATTAAACACGATAAATTAGGTAAGTAATGAATAAAACAATGAGTAAACAATTCTGAAAGATAAAATATGTATAAATAAATATGTTTATAAATACTTGAAAGCTAATAATATGAATATGAAACGCGGTCGTCTGATAACCAATTCGAACTTATTGACTCAAAACTTAAAAATACAACGGACACGTAAACAACGTTATTGCCTTCTTGTTAACTAATAAATCGTGTATTATTGGTTGGCAAACGGTGCTTCCAAAATACACAGAATTTTGTAAAAAAAAATTATATATATAATAATGTTTGCAGCCAAAGCAAATATTTTCATAGTTTTTCAATTTAATTTGAGACACGCATACTTTTTTAATATTTACCTTACAATAAACTTGTTTTAAATGATTTGCTAACATTTTCTTTGATGAATTGAAATTTTCAGTATTTACAGTAAAAATAAATGGAAATATTTCTTAATTTTTTGTTGATTTGGATTAATTCTGAAAACGATGTTTCTATATTATTCTTTTTGTCTGAATTTTTTTGATTTAATAAAAAGTTCTTCATCGATCATTTCAGTGTTGAAAGACTGAAAATTTTACGTTAGGGCTTTTTTTTATATCAATAAAGGAACGTTTACTCAGTATTCGGCGTTTTCCAGCGTGGAAATGAGCGTTCAGTGGGGAGAAGGAAGAAATACCTTTAGCCTCGAAGTATTAATTTTCCGATAAGACACGCCACCCTTATCGTCGGTAGGGAAAAGCCTTACGTATATGTATAAGTGTTTTCCGTATCCGTTCGACTCCGACGATAAATTAGAATGTCGCGCGCTCTCTTCCTCGCGTTCGGAAAATGCAAAGAGGAAACGAGAATTGACTCGAAGACGAGCGAAAGAAAACCCGTTTTCGGATGGATGTGGAAATGAGGGAAGTTTCGTTTCGAAAAGAAGTAAAAAAAAATATTATTTTTCAGGGGTGAATTGACGGAGTTACGACCCTAGCGTATTTCGTATGCACGAATCGTTTAACCCAATTTCCCCGGTCCCACGCTATACATTCTAATTAGTTAACGTTTAAAAAAAAAAGAAGTAATGAAAGAAATACAAATAGTTTCGGCGGTCATAAATTTGAGATAAACGAGAATTTACAGTTACTTTTCCAAACTTGAATAATATATCACAAATTGAATTAATTTATTCAAAAGATATTAAATAATGAATCGTTCTATTTCTAAAACTGGGGCAAAGATCGATAAGTTTTTATTTTCAATAAAAAATGTAATGTCTTCCTGAGGTGGATGAACTTTCGCATGTTACCTAGAATATCGACTGTGAAAGTGAGTTTAAATAATACAGGTGAAGATTGAGGAATTAATGATTGATTGATTGATTCGGAAAAGTGCTCTTTTTGCACACTTTTTATGGTGATATGAAAAGAGGATGCCTGCATGAAAATCTGCGACACGGGTTAATAACTAACGTGAATAATGGGTATGAAGAGTGGAAGACAAAGGGGAGAATGATAAAACTGTTGGGTATTTGGAAAGGATTACCGAGTCCTAAAAAATCCATTAAATTCAAACGATGATCCTTTTTTCCAAATGCTAAAGTCCTATCCATCAATTCAGTATATCGAGATTATAAACACTTCAATTCGTAATCCAGAATCGACGGTTTGAAAACGTGCAGAGTTCATTAAAATTTATATACTGAAATTTTACAAAAAGTTCATTATTTGTATTTCTTTTATATAATAACGAAATAACAATTAATTTTGTATAAAATATTTCGTTCGTATTATTTTGTAGCAACGGTTTTGAATGTAAGTCAAATTAATATGAAATTATATAAAAAATTATAAAATCTGATTCGCGTGACGCGTTTGTTTGTATTATGTAATAATCAATACGGATTTACGGTTTCTATTAGTTACCTAATGAAATAGAGTAATGAAGTGTTTGTTTGTTTTTTGGGTAATTTGATTATTTTTTTAAATATTTGTATAATTACATTTGTTTAGAATTATAATTAGTAAGTACGGTAGATAAATTGATTATTTCAATAAATTTAATTGTAATTATTGAATGAGTTAATTGAGTATTGTATAAAAGAAGTATTTGTTTGTGAATATTGGATGGTAATAGATAATGGTAGAGATTTTGAGAAATTGTTAAATTTTAAAAGAGTATTGCGGATGGATGCTGCGCCGTGGGGTCAATCTGTATCTGTGGAGGTTACGCCCTCTCGCCTCACGACTTGTGACGTGAGATGGGGGTGGTTTTCTGCTGCTGCCCATTAATTGTTGTCTAGTTTTTTTTTGGGAAGAAATGTTATGGATCGTGGGGATGCGGATGGTATGATGAATTGATGAGTTGATGTCGTACCAAGATTCGACCGGTGGTGGTCTGCCCGGAGATGAGTTCTCCCGCCCAGTCCTTGGCCTCGGTCATGAAGGTGCCTTCGAACTCCTGCTTGCCGCGTGCCGCCTTCTGTTCCTTCTGCTTGGGGTCGTTGGGCCCATATTCGGCCTCCTTCGCGCAACATAGAAACGCGAAGGCCCGCCATATCAGCACAATGAGCAGCCCGGCCAGAAAGGTGCAGATGCTGGACAGCAGGAAGCACCAGTACTTCCGAACGATCAAGCAGGGGTCCGAGGCGGTGCCGTTGGTAGCGGCCACCGAGTACAGCAGCGACGGCGTCTCGCCGCTTGCCGCCGCCGCCGCCTCCTCGCCGCTCGTCATACCGCCTCCGAGCCAGGCGCTGTCTTCTTCGGACGAGGCATCCACACTCCTGTCCTCTTTACTAGTCTCTTTCTTCTCGCAGAGATCGCATAGATTGCAGCATACGGTTGACGATGCGACGCTTCGCCACGAACTGAACAACAGAACTACTCAACAACAGAACCGAACTCAACTCAACTGAACTCAACTCAACTAGACTGGACTGAACTGAACTCGTATAGTCTCCAACTGAACTGAACTGACACGGCCTCTCCGCCTCCGCCGTCGCCGCCGCCGCTGCCACCGCCGACGATTCCTGTGCGAGGCGACGACGCCTGCCGACGTCGACGCCGACGCCGACGCTGCAGCGAATCAATACAATCCCGGCCCCGGAGAGAGACGAAGAGAGGCGGTCACGACGTGGAGGATGGAGCGAGAGAACGAGGAGAGGTGGCGCGCGCGCCGCCCACCAGAGGACAGAGGACGACACGGCATCCCAGTAGTCTGGGAATGGGACCCATTACATATCACGTTCTCGTATCTGTCCCTGTCCCTGTCCGGTCGATCTATTTAGATACCTGCACCTGTTGTACTGTACTACTACTATGTCAACGATCAAACTCTACTCGTCACTTGCCAAGTGGCGCGTCAATTATCACGTGCGACTCTAGGTACAACGACTTGCACACGAGCATCGAAAAATAGAACGAAAGCGCGCCTATACGACGATACGTCTCCTCTTTCTTTCATCAGCTCATCTCATCTCATCTCTGGCCCCACACATTATTTTTAAATGCAATCCAAAAATAATTAACCCAAAGATATATAAATGGACGGAAACCCAACCGTCTGTAACCTTGACAAAGCTTACTACAATCTACTTATACATCATCTACATCAGCGGTCGGGGAACCGGGGTAAATTACCCAAAATGGGGTAAAAATGAATTTTTCTAATTTCAAACTCAGAGAGCGGTACTCTGACTACTTTTCAGATCTTGATGTACAAACTGTGAATTGGGTTGTAGATCCTTTTAAATGTGAAGTTACTAACATACCAGAAGAACCTCC